AAAGATTTCCAAAGGACCTTACAAACCTAGTTCCGGGATTCCGGGAAGTTCCGGGGTTCCACTGGGCTACTGGGCTGGACTGGATGGTGGCAGCTACTTTCAAAGAATAGATGAAAAATGTATTCCACCCATGGCTAGTCGAAAACAAAATTTAATTACAGGTGATCGTTTTTATGGATGGTCATAAATCTCACGTTGGCTTGTCACTCCACGAGTTTTGTGCAGAAAATAAAATCATTCTGTATTGCCCACTTTCAAATGCTACACACTAGATACAGCCATGCGATGTATCGATCTTCAAAGCAGTGAAAGTACAATGGCGAGAAGCTGTTCGTAAGTGTAAGCATGAAACCCAAATGACAAAAGCCGCGCTCCAGGCACTTTTTGCAAAATCGTTTGAAAAATCGGTTAATCCGACTATCATCAAGAATGGTTTTCGCAGATGTGGACTCTGTCCGTTTGACAAAAACGCAGTTAATTACACAAAATGCCTGTCGAATAGGTTGAAAGAAATCCGGAACAAGAAGATAACCCATGCTCTCAATATTGATGACTATTTTTCCACTATAAAAATGCTGAAAAACGAAATTGGACCAGAGTTGAAAGATTTTGTTGAAGCTAGAAAAAAGACAAAACCATGAACATGGCTCGTTTAAGCTTTGGAATAAGTGCAAGGAAGAAGTTGAATACCTTAGTAATCAAAATTCTCGTTTACTTTCGAGCGAACAAGCCTCTAGATTGGAGGTTGAGGTTGATTGCTATGCAGTTGAGAGAAGCATCAACAGTACACAAACTGCACAAAATGTTACAGAAGAAGCTTTGATCGAGGATAATAACATGATAGATACATTCGTGATTGACGGAGTTGTGCAGTTTGATGGATAATGTGAGTATGGGATCACCACCAATTATTTCAACCCCCATCGACTTCAATGAGGGCACTAACCCAAGTCCAGAAAAGTAGGAAGACCGAACCCAAACTCGTGTCACAGTGTAGATTAAAAAAACTGAGTCTCAAGTTACAAAAAAAAACATCCTTGAATAAACTTCGAATAGAAATGATGCCTCGATCAACAACGAGTCACTTACTGACGCCGGAGATGTATATCCACTTGCTATTTATTGCTATGGTACCCACAATCTGTTAGTGTAAATGAAGACATGCCGATTGCTTCTGCTGTACTTTAAATTTGAATTATCTGCCAAGTACATCATCATCAGAAATTTTTAGTCAGCCTAAATCAATAATTACAGACACAAATCGTTTGTCACCAAAGAAGAAGACTAAGACCAAAATTGATGATTTTCTTACTATGCCAAAGTTTGGCAGTAAAGCTTCAGCAATAAAAACAAACATGCGGCAGTCGCCTATGCCAATAGCAATTACATCGAAACGTTTTAAACAATACATGGATGAAAAATAGCGTGAAAAGAAGGAACAAGAAGAAGCTAAACAAAAACGTAAAATAGAAAGAGAAACCAAGAAGAATATCAAGTTAGAACAAAGTAAGAAGCAACTGCAAAAGAAAAATAAAACCTGTCATATAAATGATGTCCAAACAAAAACAAAGACTAAACCAGAGCAAATTGCAGGTGAAATAAATCATAGAATATTTTAATTCTGGTGAAGTTACTACGTGTGTGAAGTTAGTTTCTACGTGGTAGAGCCATGCTGCAGCTATATTATGGTTGTAGCACGAATGGGTCGGCTCGAACGGGGAAGGACCACGCTCTCACAGAAAACCAGCGTAAAATAGCAGCTTAACGCTGCTGTGTTTCGTATGGTGAGTGTAGAGAACCGGAGACACTTTTTACTGGCAAAGAGGCATTCCATCTTAGTCCTCACGGGTGACAACGCATCTACATCTTGAGTCTTTGTTGAGGATAGATGTAGATGTCTATGGGTCACAGTAACCACTTACCATCAGGTGGACTGTGTGCTCGTTTGTCACCCGATTCTATAAAAAAAAGTTAGTGTTGGTGACTATGTATATGTCACATTTGAAACCAATAAACGACCAAGGCTTTATGTGGGTGTGGTTACGAAGATCAACAATAAAGACAACAAAATAAAAGTTGATTATCTGCGCAGTTCTAGCAAATTTGACAAAAATTGTATTTCATGAAACCAGGTGTAAAAGATGTCAGTGAGAATGGTATAAAATACATTAAATACATATTACCAAAACCTCAAATTGCCAGAAGAGGAATGTTGAACTTTTGATTGCCAGGACAATGAAAAAATTACATTAGGTTTGCTGTTAGTGGAATAGGAATCAAAAATAAATTAATAGACATAATTTCAAAATTTGATTAGTTAGGCAAAACCTGAATTAAATTATAATTAAGTACTTAATTAGGTTTACATATACGTTTAGCCACCTGCAATGTCAAGAAAAACTATTTCGTGTATTTCATTCAAAGTTATAAATGATCCCAAAGATGCAAAATATATGTACGAGTACCTGACCTACCTACTTTAATACTATTTTGTGCACTTATATAGACTAAATACAAAATTTACTCTAACGCAGATAAAATATTTTGTATATGACGTACCTAATAGTTATGGTATATTATAGGTTAAAACTTAGGTTTCTTAGATAATTTTTCATGTTTTTTTAAAATAAAAAGTATAATATTTGGGTTGGAATTATTTCGTGGACTGATTGTTACTGTTAAACCGTTAAAATTAAGATAAGTATGTATTATGTGCAGACTGTTAATGTTTTAGATTATTTAGTAAAAGTTTAATTTATAGTCTGAAACTCCTGTATCACAATAACCCTTAGATGTATTTTCATACGGAACCCCACTTGTTTTCTATTAATTATTTTTAGCAACTACACAAAAAACTTCATAACTGTCATAACAATGTCTGAGGTACCTCAGGATACTTATTTACATAGGTAAGCAAGCGAAATCACTTTTAATTAATATATAAGATAATCGGTGAGATTAGTAAGACCACGTTTAACCCTGGAAGCCTACGAAGCGTACACGCATTTGGAAATTGTCTATCTTTTTCTAACGAGCGAAGTTATTGGTTCGTCTGGCTTAGCCAACTCAGTGATCGCTGGGAGTTTGCCTATGGTACCCGTATCACTAAGGTAAGTCCCGCCAATTTCGACTTATTGACATGTAGTACGCCTTGTGTAACTTTTAACTTTGATTGTGTGACTATGTGATTGTTAGTTTTTTTTTTTTGTTTTTGTGGTTATATTGGCGTTGTTTCAGATAAATTATATCACGATCAAAGCGGCTAAACTTCAACAGCCGTACAAGTTGACTATAGTTGGCACTATTCGATCAAACAAGCGGGAAATCCCAGAACAACGTAAGAACTCGAGATCTCCTTCTGTCGGTAGTTCTGTTTTGCTTCGATGGCCCCTTAATGCTTGAATCTTATAAACCAAAGCCTGCAAAGATGGATCATCTTGTGATGAAAATGCGGTGATTAATGATTCAAGTGGCCAGCCAGACATGATTCATTTCTACAACCAGTCAAAAGGAGGAATAGATTCCTTTGATCAAATGTGCTCTTCAATGTCGTGCAGACGCAAAACCGATAGGTGGCCAATGGCTGTATTTTACGGCATCTTGAACATGACGTTGGTCAACTCTGTTGTTATTTACGGCCACAACATGATCAAGAATAATAAAATACCTCTAAATAGGAGAGAATTCATGAAGCAACTCAGCACAGATTCGGTCAAGTCTTGGATGGAGATGAGACTTGAAGCGCCGACTTTGAAAAGATGTTTACGAGAAAACATAAGCCAAATTAAATTCTATTAAAATCAGGAGGGAGAACCAGACCCAAAAAACGTAAATACTGCGCTTTTTTGCTCTTACAAAAAAAATGATAAAATTCGTGTGTTTTAGATGCAAAAAGTCAGTATATTGCGAGCAAAAAATTTGATGTGTGTAGACTGCTCTAACCCTTTCGCACCTGGCTTAAACGATAGTGAGTTCATATTTCTTAAAAATATGTAAGCGCGGGAAATCTGTTTGTTCGCACGCGCCCGGAACCACATAATCGTGCGTTGGTCAAATAACCAATCAAAAATAGTTTCGCGGCATTCAGGGGTCAGTGTCATCGCACGTGCGGCCAAAATGGCGGTGTTTCTCGATCCCGATACTAAGCGTCGTAAGTATTTGTATTATTTACATGTTTTTTTTTTTTTGATTGATTTGTTCATGTACATGTGTTATTTTCATTTTTATTGATCTATAAATCAATTAGTATCAACGACTTAACCTAACTTAAAGTATCGGCCCATTTGGTTAGTGGCAAAATAAGGAACTCACTTACGTGAGCTCTCGGGTTTATTTATACCTCCTCACAAAAATGAGTTGCCTACATTTACTTTTTTTTATTAAGGTTAAATGGCTGTTTTTATATTTTTTAGGTATGCCATTGAATTGTGAGCTTGTACTTGACCTACTTAATAACGGGGAATGCTCGGATATTGATATCGATGAGGCCGACGAGGATTTTTGTCCACAACCAGGTGCTACTGAAGATGATGCTCATGAAAAGGAATCTCCTCCCTCACCAGACTCAAAAAAGAGTTATTCTAGTTTAGTTCATAAAGAGCATGAAGGTGATGGTCCATCAAAAACAAATAAACAGAAGAAAAGTAGGAAATTCAAAAAGAAACAAAACACAATTAAAAGTGAAGTTTGGACAACGTCGACGCATTTGGAAAAAAAGTGATTATATTGATAAGCCTCATAATTATCCCGGCCATCCTAAACCGGACAAAGTTCAATCACCAGTCGAATATTTTGGTGCATATTATGATGAGGATTTTTTCGAGAACATGGCTCTCTGTACTAATCTCTATTACATGAGACATACCGGCAAAGTTTTAAATACTAATAAACAGGAAATTAAACGGTTGTATGGGATTCATCTGTTGATGGGTATTCTTTCTTATCCTAGATATGCTATGTACTGGCGCAGGAATATAAGCATCAATATAATAACTTCTGCAATGACAAGAGACAGATTTTCTCTTTTGCGAAATAATTTACACGTTGTTGATACGGATACTGTGCGAGCAAGAGATGCAGGAAATCCTCTCTGGAAAATACAACCAGTTCTCACAGCCGTTAAAAATGGCTGTGAAAAGATATTGCGAGCTCCAGGTAGATATTCAGTGGACGAGCAAATGATTCCATTCACAGGAAAATGTCATCTTCGGCAGCTGGTAAAGAACAAGCACCGGCCCGTTGGCTTAAAAATTTTGTGGTCACAACCAGTGAAGGGCTGATGGTTGATTTTGAGATATATTACGGCAATAACCCTGTACTTGCTCATCCACTGGGCCTTGGACCTGCAGTTGTTCTTCGGCTCATACGAAGTGTCCCACGCGGAAGCTGCATTTTTTTCGACAGGTATTTTACGACCGTTCCTCTACTTGATACCTTGTCGCAGCTTGGTTTTCACGGAACCGGAACCATAATAGCCAATCGCGTGCCAGATCGAAAGGAACTGAGCTTAAAAGAAGACAGCAAAATGAAAAGAGGCGAGATAGATCAAAGAGTTTCGGGTGATGTCGCCTTGGTCACATGGAAGGACAGCAAAGCAGTGTTGACTGTTTCCAATTGTACCGGTGGTACAGCTATTGAAATAGTTCAGCGCTATGACAAGAAAGAGAAATGTTACATAGATGTAGACGATCCAAAACTGGTGAAAAGTTATATTTTGTTTATGGGTGGAGTCGACGTCTTGGATCAGTCTATGGAGTACTACCTTATATAAAAACACGCAAATGGACACTCAAAGTAATACTCCATTTCATGGATTTGGCTGTAGTGAACGCATGGCGCTTATATAGGTGTGATTTGTTAGCCACGGGAGCAGCAGGAAAAGACATAAAAGATTTACTATCATTCAGATTTGAAGTGGCTGAAACATTGATAAATACTCCCAATAGAGAGCAACGCGCATCATCTCCAGGTGATCCCGTAATACCTCGATCTACTGCAGGAAGATACAGACCAGCAAACAATCCATCACAGGGAAAAAGGTATGACGGGTACATGCACTTACCAATTTTCGACGAATTGAAGGACCCTCGCGTTTGTCGTTTGGAGAGCTGCAAATCGCGAGCTAAAATCAGATGCCGAAAATGCGACGTATACCTGTGTATGAGTCGCGGTAAAGACTGCTTTTACCTCTACCATGTTGATTCCTAAAAGCTAGTTGAGTACAAGACTTATAAAATAAGTACTTAGATAATTACTAAGATGTTAATTTGGATCTCATTTTATTTTTTGATAAAAGAACGTTATAAGTACTGTCCGAAAGGCATTTTGTTTTTTAAATGTTTACTAAATAAGGCGTTTTAAGATTATGTTGTATTCAAAATACAGTATTATGATAATTACAAAAAAACTGTGGTAATTTGACCAAATGGTAGAAATATGTACTAAAGATTGAAATAAACAGTTATTTTTACATATTTTTTTTTTATTTTATTATAATAAAATAAATTAGACTCACATTTAATGAGTATGACTTTGAATTGCTTAGAATTGCTTAAAAACCTACTTACTCACTACCATGAGTAGGGTGAAGTAAACTCGAGAACTCACGATCGTGCGTCATGATTTTCTTAACTTTGGTGTGGGATGAATTTTTTTTTAATTTTTTTCCCTTTAATTTAATCGTCTAAGTAGTTATATTTTACAGAAATGTTTCTATTAGGAGGCCATAAATTTTCCAGGTGCGAAAGGGCTAAGCTTTAAGATACTCTTTGAAAGTGTGATTTAATTTAATAATTGTGGTAAGAAAAAGTAATTAATAGAAAAAAATATGAGATAGTTAAAAAAATAATGTTACCGTTGCTTAATGAGAAGTTACTTTTTTGTTCGAACATAGCTAGATTGTTTTATTTTGTTGTAATAAAAGCTTTTAAAAAAATTTTTTTTACTTCGCAAACATCCGCGCTTTAAAATAAAATGATGTGTCTTACCTAGTATGAAGAGCTTCACTTAGCGGTTAGCCACCGTAAAGTCTATATTTTTTGTTATAGGATAAGGGTGACAAACGAGCACACAGTCCACCACCTGATGGTAAGTGGTTGCTGCGGCCCATAGACATCTACATCTATCCTCGTTTGCGAATCAAAATGCAGATGCGTTGTCACCCGTGAGGACTAAGATGTAATGTCTCATTTCCAGTAAATTTTTTTAAAAGCTTTTATATAATGGATTTCTCAAAGTAACGCCTGATTCTATTAATTATATTTGTATTTATAAATGGCTGTGATTGAAGGCTTCACTGATGAATCTGTGTTTTATTACTAGAATAAATCCCTGTCTTCCAGATTCTTAAAAAAAATCACAAATTATTATATTTTAGCCTACAAATGGTTATATATATATGCACGCCTCTGAGGCGTATTTTAAGGCTTTATGTATCTCTAAGACAGATTAGGCTTCTAGGGTTAAATTCATTAAACCAGTTGTAAACGGTGGCACGAGATGGGGCTTCATCGTGAAAGGCCAATCGAAGTCTATCATAACTTTCTTGTTAACTTAAATTTTCTCGTATTAAATTCATGCTGACGTGACGCAGCCACTTTTCAATTTGCCTCATATTTGCATCGTAAATTGTAAACAAATGACAACTTAATAAAATACATACAGTGCCACCAACTTATCTGTTCAGGTGGACAAAATTGGAACTAATGCCGCCATTTTGTAAATGACATTTCGCTGTCAGTTATTATTTATTCTGAGCTATCAGGTGAATGTTTTTAAAAAGTGCAATTAAAATGCCTAAAGCTCTTAAAAGTGATGCGCGACAGATTATCCTAAAAGTTTTATCTTTTATGAAAGAAGAGAAACGTGTACAAGCCCCAACTATACCATTTCAAAAGCTGTATGAGCGCGTTGCTGCCGCGACTGGTTAGTATTGCCAGATATGGAAAATTAAAATCACCAAATAATGTACTTGTAAAACATAGTAAAAAAATTATCTCAATTTACTGTAATTCGTCTAAAGTACCTAGCTTTGTAGTTTGTGGTCTGTGAAGTAGCTTTAGTGACGGCATATACACGGGCTTACATTTATTTAATTTTACCTATACAATAATTATTTGTCGTTTCGTTACAGGTGTTTCTGAGCGATTTGTACACAAACTCGTAAATGAAGAGAAACACGCTGAAGAATCCAATTCTAAAATTTCTACCCCTGGCAAAAAAAGGCAAAGAAAAACCGGGAAGCAAGAAGTTGATAATTTTGACATTGGTGTTATAAGAAGAAAAATTCACGAATTTTATTCAGTGAAAAAAGAAATCCCTACCATACCCAAATTACTGAGTATTTTAAAGGAAGATATTGACTTCAAAGGAGAACGTGAAACTCTTCGAAAATTGCTTCACAAAATAGGATTTCGTTATAAGAAAACGAAATCAAATAGAAAAGTGTTGTGCGAACGTAACGACGTAGTTGCATGGAGAGCAACCTACCTACAAAAAATTAAATAAAATGAGCGTGGTGAAAAAAGACCTGTTATTTATTTAGACGAAACTTACATTCACTCGTCTCACTCAACTGGGAAATGTTGGCAAGGTCCTGAAGAAGATGGTGATTTGGAACCTGTTTCGAAAGGTAATAGGTGGATCATAATCCATGCAGGTGGAGAAAAAGGTTTTGTAGAGAATGCCCTTCTCGTATTTAAATCAAATACAAAATATGGGGACTACCATGATGAAATGAATAGCATTAATTTCAAAAAATGGGTATATGAAAAATTACTACATAATCTGCATGAACCTTCGCTCATTGTAATGGATAATGCGCCATACCATAGTATTTGCGTAAATAGGTGTCCTAATTCAAACCACAGTAAGGCTGATATGCAGAAGTGGCTTGAAAAAAACAATGTAAGTTTCAATGAACAAATGACAAAACCTCAGCTTTATGAATTAATAAAGAGAAATAAACCTGCTCCGGAATACGAAATTGATAACCTGATGAAAAGTCATGGCCATGCTATTCTTAGATTGCCGCCTTATCATTGCGACTTGAATGCAATTGAAATGATATGGAGCTCTATGAAAAGGAACATAGCAGACAAAAATGTTGGAAAATCTAATGTTCTAATGCCCCAATTAATTGAAGATGCATTTAATAAAATTACACCGGTGCAGTGGAAAAACATATGCAATCATGTGAAAAAAATTGAAAATGAATACAGACTAAAAGACGCGTATTTAGATGAACCCTTTATTATAGTGTCAGAGCGATAGCGAAACCGATTCCAGTGACTCAGAAGATGAATTATTGGAACCAGTATCTAACGCGGGTACATCTTTCAAAACAGGAATTCCTGGAGTTCGACCGCTTGAACTCCGAGACCACGACCACAATTATTTTTATAAAATATAATTATATAATATAATTTATATATATATATATATATATATTAACACGAAATTTGTTTTATTTTATATTATGTGTAATGAATATGTAGTCACCTATTTCCTCGGTAAATTTCTTAAATGGCAATAGTAAGCACTCCACTAGCGACTCTGTCAACTGAACAGATAAGTTGGTGGCACTATACACATCAATATTGACAAAGAGTTTCATTTTCAAAAATTTGAACTTATTTTTTTTCATTATATCGTTTACAAGAGGCCAGTTCAAAAAACTTTCAGTGTCGCCGTCGTAGTATTACCTACTAATACTATATACGTTAATAGATAAATATAATATATAGATAATACCTTTAACTTATCTTACATTGAATAATATTCTTATAACAGCAAATTACTAATACATTGCATAACACCTCGGTGTATTCTACTACCAACTTATATAAAAGGATTCAATTTGTTTTCTCACAACACATAACCCTACAGCAGAAGCGGCCTTAACAAAGGCGCTTAACGGGCTACAGACACTCGCACGCAGACGTAAGGTGCATATTAATTTTAAACGCGCGCCGAGATTTAACTCTTAATCTAAAAAACATCATTTCCTTAAAAGTCAAATAGATTATCTAGGTTTTTAAATTTCCTAAGACGGTGTATGTCCTGGTTGTAAAAAAAAATTGGCTGTTGCTAATTTTTCGACACCTCGAATGACCACGAAGTTCAACAAAAACTGCAACTGTTGCCAAACCGTTAACTCTATCAACCGAAGCAGGACAAACATGAGTATGGAGTAAAGAACAGATTAATTCATTGGCAATCTTCAAAGAAATCTTTTAAATAGACCAGTTCTCATTATATACAACCCAGTTCTCATTATATCCAACCATACTGATGCTAGCCAATTAGGATTTGCCGGTGTTTTATACATAGAGAAAAAGAAGGTTGTCCTCTTCACGCCGTCGCATATTTTAGCAGGCACACTACAACTGACACTCTTTCGAACTGGAAACCTTGGCTGTCGTTTCATTTCTAAGGGCCGATTTCACCAAACTCAGATAACTTTTATTCCAATAGTAATGATGTAAATTATTCTAGGATATCAAATTTTACATTTGACCAACAATTTAACCCCAGAATAAATAGTTATTCTTCGGTTAAAAATGGCCGACTAGCTGTCAGCTGTTAATTATTTGACATTTTATAGTCTATCGCGTACGTCCAAGTTTCTTGTTCTTGAATTGCTGTTTGGTTAATAAATGTTTAATTTAATTATTATTTAGAGTATTTAATTTATATAAACTTTACATAATGCAACGTTTGAGAAGAATGATTATCAATAGTGACAGTGATGATAGTGAAGATGAAACCTACAACATAGGTTCAAGGTGGATAAAAGAAAGGAATAATTATTTTTATGACTATGATGACGAAGATTTTAGGATAAGATTTCGGTTATCTAAAGCAGCAGCTCATAATCTTTTGATCAAAATTGAAGATCATTTGGAATTTATATCTGAGAGGTGAGTCTTTATATCTATTTATACTGTTCGTAGGTACATAATACGGCAATGAATTGGACGTAGATTAGCAGAAAGGACTCAACCCACAATATTGTCAAAAATGAGTTAGATACACCAAATGAACCTAAAAGGTCGGGTCTATCATTCAGCAAAAACGAGCTAGCCTCAGACAAATAGAAAGCATTTTTTTAAATACTGGGGACCAACCCACATAAGGGTGCGCATTTCTATATGATCAGCTAAATAGACCCAACCCGCTAGAATCCTTTCTAATAAATTATATTTCAAGGGAACGCACTAAACTTTATTTAACTTATTAGCCTCAATTCATGTGAGTTGGTTTAAATAAATACACATACAAAGAAAAGAGTCTGTTTTTTTATTCATCAAAAACGACTTAAGTTTCCTAGGTCGTTTTTGATAAATAAATATTACCGTAAAACGCTCTTTGAACATTCAACTGAAATGACTCAAACTCTCTGAATCATTGTTGATGAACTGAAATTAAAAAAAAAGTGCATTTATAATTTGGCTATAAAATCTCAAACTGTCTAGGGCTTTTAAGATTATTATTTATTTGCAACTTTAAAGTCACTAAAATGACTTAACCCTTAAATGCATAAAGTTGTAAAACTGCAACATACCATTCAAACGACCATAAAATTATTAGTATGAGTTCATTGCATGCTGTTGCAGGATTATCACTATCATGGTTATATATTTAATCGAGTGGCAACACATTTTTTTTCTTCACGACTGTCAAATTTAAACTTGACATTGACAAATCAAAGCCGTGTCGTGAAGCGACAATTAAAAAAAAATAGAACCTAACCTAAGTACAACAAAACAACAAAAGTAGAGCCAGAAAACAATATATTTAAATTTATAAAAGGTATTTACAATTTTATAAAAAAAATGGAATGAGGATGATGATGAATGAAGTGAGAGTACAATTAGATTATAAAAAAAAAAATAAAGGTGAGAGAATAGGGGAATATAGTGTTGTAGTGGGGTCTAAAAGTCGAAGCGACACACGTTGCGTTTGTAGAAGTAGGTTTCTTAGTAGCGACGGCACGCAGCGCCTGAAGCCAGCACACGCCGTTTGCGCTTGTAGAGGTAGGTTTTCTTAGCAGCGACGGCGCGCAGCGACGGCGCGCAGCGCCTGGAGCCAGTACACGCAGCGTCCGGATCCGGCGCACGTAGCGCCTGGAGAAGGGGCGCGCAACGCTTAGAGCCAGCAGTTGCAGCGCCCAAAGGTAGCGCCGGCGGTAGGTGCACTCGGCGCCTGGAGTAAGTAGTAGTAGTGCCCGGAGTAGTGTGGCCCCCGCGCTTGTAGTAGACTCGAAGCGACTTCCGAGGTAGATGGAGGCTTGTAGGATTCCGGAGTGGCGCGGCCCGAGTTTTAAGAAGGCTTCGCCGAAGACTTCACGTGTAAATGGAGGCTTGCAGGATCCCGGGGCAGTGCGGCCCCGGGATAAGGCCTTTAGGAGATACTTCTAATTCGCGAACTGAAGCGAGACTGCCTTTCTTCACCGATTGTTCGGCTTTTATACCTTTCTAGAGAGAACGGAAAAATTATTTAAATTATACGCAAATTTTTTGTAAATGGTCAAGAGAAAAGAGGATTTATGTGAAATTATCGAAATAGGAATAACAGATCGGTAGCAAATTTGAATATAATTACCATGGAAACGATATAAATAAGAAAGACAAAACATGTCAAATTTTTGTTTTTGGTTTATAATAAGAAAACGGTAAGATTTAAGTGGAAAATGAGATATTATTGATATAGGAAAAAAGGTGGCGCAGCAGCAGTGTGGGCGCAGCTGCCCACACTAAGCCCAAGATTGTAGAGTTACGGAAAACTAGCTAAAAGATCGAAAAAAGGTAGACTCCATTGACACCAATTTAAAAGTGCTGATAATGTGAAAATACGAAGTAGAAATGATTTGTTATTGTGTTCTTATGGTTTAAAATCGTTACAGGATCCTATGGAAATAAAGGTGATGTAAAATATCCAGTTTTGAGGTGAATGCAGAAAATCGAAACGGAATGGAAAAATGAATTTAAAATAATGTAAAATGATACGTAAGTAGTATAATACTACAGCCGATCGTAATTTTGGAGCGGATGAAAATTGTGTACTTGCTTTGCAGTGTAATTATTTGATTTTCGAAGGTAAGTTCAAACAAAATTAGTTATTTTACGTAATAATTCATCTTCTTTTCAGTACAATTTATAAGTTATAAAAAAAACTTTTGGTATGTTCGGAAATTTTGTTTATTTTGTTGTTGTAAATCTGCAACAATATGCATTTACTAGAAAATGTCCCTGTTTAGATTCTAACTATCACTTTTATTGGTTTTCAGATGCCAAACTTGAATCAAAAGCAAATAGAAGAGTATTTAGCTCTAATAAATGATGGAGAGAGGTCGGAAGATGATCTTGAGGAGTCGGATACAGAAGGTCATGAGAATTTTTGTGAAAATCGAGACGATTTGCTTCACGATCTTGAGAGTCCATTAGAAGAGGAAAATGATGACCCCGATAATGATCCATTCATGGCAGGAGACCCGCCATTGATAAATGAAGCTACAGCAAATGATCAAGTGCCACAGGTTCCATTCCCCTCAACAAGTCAAGCTAGTCGCCGAGCAACTATGAGAGGACTCGTATGGAAGGTAAAAAATTTTGTTTTGAATTCTGACCAGACAGCTTTTCATGGAGACACTACATATCCACCAGAACTGAAGGATGAGGTTACTACTGGTACTCCCTCTAGTATTTTTTCACATTTTATTACATCAGAAATAGTTCAAAGGATTGTGGAAGAGTCTAATTTGTATTCCGTTCAAAAAAATGTGACTAAAACCATTAAATTTGTCTGAAACTGAGCTAAGAAAGTTTATGGCGATACTGATATACATGTCTGTTATAAAATATCCCAATGTACGGCTATACTGGTCAAATACTGTAGGTTTTCAACCAATCAAGGACATAATGACTGTCAACAGATTTGAGACTATTCGTAGATTTCTACATTTCAACAATAACGAGAAACATTTACCCAAGGAACACCCACAACATGATAGGCTCCATAAGATAAGGCCTATAATTAACCATCTAAATGAAAAATTTGCTTTAGTTCCTATGGAACAAAGACTCTCAATTGATGAACAGATGTGTGCCACGAAAGTGGCACACTTCATGAAGCAGTATTTACCTAATAAGCCCCATAAGTGGGGGTTTAAATTATATGTGATGTGCAGCGTGAAAGGTTATGCTCATAAATTTGAAATATATACTGGCCAAGAGAATGAACGGCTTCCAGATGAACCAGATTTTGGGCCAGTGGGAAATGTTGTAGTCCGGCTTGCTAGAGGTGTCCCAAGGCATATAAATCATATAATTTATTTTGATAATTTTTACACCTCTGTACCTTTAGTTACCTATCTTGCCAAACAAGGAATCTATAGCCTAGGTACTGTCCAATCTAACAGGCTAGTGAACTGCAAACTGCCGGACAAAAAAACAATGATGAAGAAATCTGTTCCTCGTGGAACTTATGAAGAGCAGATGACTGAATTTGACGGTATTGATGTGACAGCAGTTACTTGGAAGGACAATAAAGTTGTAACTTTTCTATCTTCGTATGTTGGAGCTGAACCTGTGGGCCAAGTAGAAAGATTTGACAAGGCAAATAAGACTAGAATTAAAATTTCATGCCCACATATAATTAAGGAATATAATGCCCATATGGGTGGAGTGGACCTAATGGATAGCTTTATTGGGAGGTACCGAATTGCAATGAGAAGCCGAAAGTGGTATCTTCGTATCTTTTACCACTTATTGGACATGACGGTAATAAATTCTTGGCTTGTGTATAAAGATTTAAAAATAACTGAAGCCAATTCATCAGTTCTAAACTTATGTCACTATAGACTGGAACTAGCTGAGGTATTAGCCAAAGTAAATAACTCATTTGAACTCTGCAACAAAAGAGGAAGGCCAAGTACCAGCAACAGTGTTGAAATGGAAATATAAGCAAAGAAAAGGAGAAGACCAGCTCAACATATTCCTCCTAAGGACATAAGAACTGATAATGTTGGTCACTGGCCTGGTAATTGTGTTCGCAGCAGATGCAAAATGCCTGGATGCAAGGGATACACGCAAACAAGGTGTGAGAAGTGTGGAGTAGCTCTTTGTCTTACCACGACCAAAAATTGTTTTAAAAATTTTCATATGTAGTTATTGTCTAGTGGCCATGTAGAAAGAATGAATGAGGAAAGAGTGACAAAGCAAATTTATGTTGCAGAGGTGAACGGCATAGTCGGGAAGGGTCGCCCTAGGCGAAAGTTTATCGACCAAATTGGCGATATATTAAAAATGGGCCAAATCAAGAGTACCTTTAACCGACGAGCGTGTATGCGTAGGTATATGGATGTGGAGGAAGCGAGAGAGGTGTGTCAGGATCGTGCCAAATGGAAGTCCATAATCTCTGCCTACCCCTCTGGGTGACAGGCGTGAGTGTTTATGTTATGTTATGTATGTCTAGTGAGTGAATGGTGTTGTAGTTCTGCAACATATGGTTTTTAATAAAAATAGCTATGAAAAAAATATTTACGATTTTTTTTATTATTTTTCCCTGAATCAGCATATTCATGGCTCCAAAATATATTTTTTCTCGGTCTAAAAATAAAATCATGCATTTAAAGGTTAAGGACATTCTCGTATATGTAACAACATTATTTTCATAGATTACCTACTACCATGCATTTTTTTAAACGACAACATTTTTTTACTTATACTATTTTAGTTTCAAAAGTTGCAACCCTTGTTGTATTGTATCTTGTGTAATCACTTGCGTTATGCGTACGGCGGAAATAGTGTAACGGCCAATACAATATATTTTTTTATATCGTGCTGTGAGATTGTAACGATGAAAAGAATTGACCGGATCATCTCAAGTGCTTTGAAGAAAAAAAAACTCCCGCAGTGTAAGTAATTTTATACTTTTAACTTTAACCTCAAAAAGTTTAGAAACTGTACAAACTTATTAAGACGTTACATTTTATTTGTGCAGGTACAGACAAGAAGGAGGATGAAACTTTGTTAACAATGGCACCAGTAAACAGGGATGACACTGAGGGAACTGGTAAGTGCCTATCTATCTACTTGTTATTATTATTTATTGACCTTAAACTGACAATAAAATTATTATAATGATATTCATAATTTGAAATTAATCTATGCTATTTTGCGATAATAATAACATCGATTCGGTAACGGCTTTAAATCGTCTAGAATGACCAACATTGAAAGTACTTATTAGTCTATTATTACTATATTATATTTATTTATTTTTTCGAGCCTAGTCTAGACATATGTCTGGGTTGTGGTGTATGTAAGCTAATGTTATTACAGATGATTTTTTTTTTTTTTTGAATCCTGCAACTGCATTGACGCTATCTCATATGCCAGAACAAGTTCTATCGAAAATTGGTAAGTGGATTTTTCGTCATACTTATTTACGGTACTAATTAACATTATTCGATGCTTAAATCAATTTATGGAATATGATGAGACCGTAGTGTATTCAATAATTATTATGAATTATTTAGTCAATAATTGTAGGTGTGTGGTACACGCGACTACATACATACATATAAAGCTATAAATTATCCAGTATAGGCTGACTTCTCATCGTATGGAAATCCTATACATTGCGAGATCAGCTTATATTGGGATTTATAGCTTGATATGTAGCCAAGAGTGTACTTACTAAATGTATAAAATGTTTTAGATGTTGTGGATTCGCCAAAAGCTCCGTTGTATTCACCGTTGACGCCTTTAGGCGTAGTCGCGTCAAGGCATATACACGAGTGCAAAGGTAACACTAATGAATTCTTAATTTGCACAGTAATAAAATAATTATTAATGGCCCTAGCTTATAATTAGAACAAATTAATAAATAGGTATTAGCTAAAATAAAATATTTTTTTTATTTGCAACTACCTAACTAAAATAAAAAAAAAATCGGTGGTGCAAATGATATATCAAAATCATATTATTTTCAGATGAAGTGGATTCACCAGTAGCTCCACCGTACTCGCCTTTGACCCCTCGGGTACCCGGATATAAGACAATTCAATGTAGTTATGAGCTTCTTTTTTATTCTTGTATGTATCAAAAATAAATGAATAATTAAGTTTAATTTTTCTGAGATATTTCAGGTTGTGGAGAAAATCCATCACCTTTGCCTGCTATGTCTCCAAGCACTTTAGAGCTAGTTGAAACTTTGAGTGGAATATTTCTAGGGGATTATAGTAGTGATACGGACACTGATTATGTGCCTGATAGTGAAGAAGATTCAGATAGTAGCCATTCAATTAGAGTAAAGAAAAATAATGACATCAATATTATTTCGGCAAAATGTTGTATACCGGATAGTGATGATGATTTCGAAGCTGGTGTATCAACAGGAACTGTACAAACTCATGCTGCTGTGGTGCATAATTTGGTAAATCAGGACTTCGAAATAAGAAACGAAACATCAAGTACAACTTTTCATGTTATTCGTGGTGATGAAACGTTGAATCAAATTACCAATTTTGAAGTTCAAAATAATGACGATTATCTGATCTTAGAAACACAAAGTGAACCACAGGCATGTCGTCCCAAAAAAGGACGTAAAAGAAAACACCCAGAGCATACTATGGCACAGAAAAAGAACGTTAAATATGCCAATTTACCTTATCATGGAAAAAATAAACTAATGCCGTCTAAAAACTTTATAGACTATACGTGTAAATGCACTAGGCAATGTTATTTCCGCGTTTCAGAAGAAAATAGGAAAGAAGAGTTCGAAAAATATGTTTTATTAGGCTCATATGAAGCGCAACTGCTTTATATTTTAAATAACGTCAAAGAAAGCCCTAAATCTAGATCATACACCTTGATAAATAATAAATCTGGTAAAAAGAAAGCAAGACAATACCGAAGAAATTATTTTATATGTGACATAGAAGTGTGCAAAGATATGTTCACACATAATTTTCAAATTTCTTCTAAGAAAGTCGATATTTCCTTACTGAAAAAACGATCTGGTACCGCTTTGAAAGACAATAGAGGCAAAGCTCAAGGTGGCTGGAATAAGACGCCACAAGAGGATGTCGAGTTCATTAAAAATATAATAAATTCCTTGCCTAAATATGAGTCCCACTATAGGAGAGAAAATAGCGACAGTAAATATTTAAAACCGGGCACGACTATCGAAAAAATTCATGAAATTTATATAGATGAATTAAAAACTGTTTACGGTACATTAAAAAGACCTGTTTCTATAAATACTTTCAAACGTATATTTTATAGTAATTTTAATTTGCGATGTAAGCCATTAAAAAAAGATACGTGCAACAAGTGTGATTCGCTAAGAAATAAAATAAAAAATTGTTCATCCGAAGAAAAGACAATATTAGTTGCAGAAAAAGAAGAGCATCTAAAACGAGCTGAAGAACTGAGAATTCAAATGAATCAAGATCTGCAAAGAGCTAAAATTGACGAGAAATTTGAGTGTCTGACGTATGACCTAGAAAAAACGCTTCCTCTTCCCCGGATACCCACAAATATAGTTTTTTACAAGCGCCAGCTTTGGCTTTACAATAGTGGTATTCATGCCGGTTCAAACGACGTAGGTTACTGTAACATTTGGGTTGAAGGAGAAGCAGGAAGAGGAGCACAAGAGGTAGGGTCGTGCCTCGTACGGTTCATTAAAAACGATCTCAGCCATGAAGTGGAAGATCTTGTATTGTGGAGCGATTGCTGTGGGGGGCAGAATCGTAACATAAAAATTATTTTAATGCTGAAAGCAGTATTGGATTCTCATCCGAGACTAAAAACAATAACACTAAAATATTTAGAGTCAGGGCATACATTTCTTCCCAATGACACCGATTTTTCTAAAATAGAATACCAATTAAAATATCACCAAAGAATATACACCCCCGATCAATACATTAACGTGATTAAGAGCTGCAAGAAAAAAAATCCACTGAATGTTTATAGGATGCAAAGAAATGATTTCTTTTCTACCAGCAAAATGGAGAAGAAAATTGTCAACAGAAAAACTTTCGTTACAAAAGCTAAAGTTAACTGGTTAAGGACAAAAAAAATACTCTTGAAAAGAGATGAAAAGTATACAATCTACATGGAAAATACTGATGGAATGTTTGAAGAGCTAAACATTGAAAAGAAATTAAGAGGAAAACGATTAGAAATATCGGAAGAGGACTTAGTGTTGCTGTGGCCGAATGGGAAAGAAATTGCTCAAGCAAAACTGGACGACTTGAAATCTATCTTTGACTTTATTTCCAAAGATTGTTTAGATTTCTATAAAACTCTAAAGGGGAACGATAATATTACTGAAGATGTCGATGGCTTCGATTGTGTTACTGATTTTGAGCTGCTTATAGAGCAGACAGAGCAGACGGAGCAGGATGACCAGGAAGACTTATTGCAAGATATAGTGTAATAAAAGTAAAGAGTTCATTTTGGATTTTTTAATAGTAAGAGTCACGGTCGATCAGTTCCTACTTGTGTTTAATTTTAAATTATAAATGGTAATTAATAAATAATTTTGCTTTGATTCATTTATTGACTTTCTTTTAAAAAACCTTTAATTTTAATTTTAAATAATCACTTGAGTCATTTTAGTAGAATTCAAATAAAGACTGCATCATGAAAATACAAATTTATCAAAAAGGACTCAAACCTATATTTTTTTCAATAACTCATGAATAACATGCAAAATACCATCAAACTGAAACCCATTTAAAACGCAATTGTTAAATCCCTTAACTAACCTAACACCTTAATATTCTGAGTCCAATATCACTGAAGAATACATCTCCGAACTTTAAACATCGATTACTCAAAAGTGATATTTTGTGGTTTGAGTCCTTTCTGCTAATCTACGTCCAATTGCTCTAAATAAAAACTGTATTCGTTTACAGGAATTAATCAATTTCTCCGATCAATCAGCTTTTGGCAACACTAAGATTTTATGCAACGAATAATTCACAATTAACGATCGGTGATTTTAGTCGACTCAGCACACCTACAGCACATAGAATAATACATAGAGTTAGTGCTGCCATAGCGTCATTGAACCACGGCTACATAAAATTTCCGAATACTCAACAGGAAATTCGGCAAAATCAAAGGTAGTTTTATGGTATAGCAAGATTCCC